CATCAGTCGGTGCAGAAAGACAAGAGATACTAACCCTCGACCCTGGTAATTGGTCTCGTGTTAAGTAGTACTATACTTGTACGTACAATGTGCAGTTATCCGAAGCATGTTCGTTATACTGCTGACTAAATTTTCGGGCCATCACGATTCGGCTGCTTACGAGATTCAGGTTATAAAAGGTTATAAGCCTATCTGAGTTTCAATTCATGGTCCAACGGATCCCGACTCCCGAATTAATTTCCATTTTTAAACTCAGTACCTGTCCAATGGAAAGACATACCGTTGAGGCTTTACCAATTGTTCTCTCACTTGCATGCGCATATCGTGGAAATTATTTTGTATGTTTCACATGACAAAAATAAGTGTTTCCTCGTGCATACTACCCTGGGCCTCAACCTGCAACGTTACCGAGCCAACCCAGCAATCGTGATTTGTGAGCATCGAATCTTTGCATCCTGTGATTCTAATTATCATCAGGGTGTTTTTGCTCAAAAATCCTTGTATAACCGCCACAGCAAGAATGACCCGCGTATCTATCAGGTGATATTCATGTAGTTGCTGCCTGAAGCGTCCATCACTAGTACTGCCACTACATTCGCCAATGACTGCTAGGGAAGCGCAAAGCTAATCGACGAAGCTGGAGAAGGTGGTCCAAGCAAGAAACCGGTCTCCGCGGATGATGCAGCTGACAGCGTGGATAACGAGGACGATGACGACGACTTGTACGGAAGTATAGAAGCCGCGAGACGCGTCATGATGGACATTGATGATTGATCAATAGACGGTTGTCAGACCTTTCAGTGAGTACGTTTCAAACATTGTCAAATAAGGCCGTTCACCTCATCTTATTCCCTTCAGACTCTCAAGTTTCCGTGATGATATGTTTTCTATGCTCGATTTTCTCTTCCATCACATCGCCACTAATACTTTGATGAACAAAGTTCACGCCTTTATGATTCGTTCTCTCACCACACTACGCTCTGAGTAGTCGCTACCTTGATGTAGTGTTGACTTTGTTCTTCACTCCCCAGATCTGTCTGATGTACTGTGTTCATCACTTAATAAACATACATAGTACATTCTGATTTGTGTACAGTTCCGAGCGAGGCGCCATTCACTACGTGGAATTCCACCTGCGACAGATACATCCTCTATGACCAGCTCCATGAGTTCGAGGGCGGGGCAGAAGTATACGTTAGAACCTGATGCGTGCACCATGTCTATGGCCCTTCATCGTAAGTTACACGCACAATTCAGGTGAAACCTCACGTGCCAAGATAAGAGTTCATAATTGTATCCCTCAAATTTTTGCAATCTACGGGTGATCTCGCAATCACCTATCCATCATGGAACCTCCTCAACCTTCACTGTGGTAGGCAGCGTCAATATCGTAGCCCGCATCATGGTTGTGTTCAGCTCGGTGTTGCAAAGTTTACATGAACGAAATCGTTGTATTTGTCAATTAGGTTGTAAGCACGCTGGCTTACTAGAGTTCCCATAATCTACATGAATACTGTCTGCGATACTGAAACATAAGCTTTCAGTATCACTGCCTTTTGGCGTAACAGTTAAGGGACGACAGTCTTAGCTAAGTTACATAGTGTCTCAGGTTCGATCAATCACTGCGATCGATGACAGGTGTCCAAGTTGTGCTTCATCAGCGGTGAAAAAAAAATTGTGCATTCAGCGCACCTAAAATGTCACCGTTTTGTTAGGTAGGACGCATGGTCTATCGCACGTACGATTATTGTGATGCCGAAGTCGATACATAACTTGAATGAGCTAAATAATTATGCGGAGTTGCGACTGAGTGCCGCTGTATGACATATAGCCAATCGCGCCTAGTTTACAAATTTGCGGTTGGCGCACAGAATCCCTTGGCAAGAGTTGAGCAAACGTTTAGTGCTGCTCTGGAATTTAACTGGAGTCGATGCAAATGCAATCGACCACAATGCAAAGAATTAAGGAAAGGATTGATCATCACACGAAGTTGGTACATGTGACTTATCACGATCAACTTCAATCCTCCACTAAAGCTTGCCAACGTTGACATTGACCAGTGAACAGGGCTCATCAGGGTCGCTAAAAACTATCGTGTGTACGCGTCTCGGAGGCTCCGCAGAGATATCTAGGAGGACGCGCATCTATTATCTGCACTGCATGAGAATAGATTATGTGTACTGACCTCGTACGCCGATGAAAGCGAAGCTGTATCTTTCTCTGATACTCTCATTCGTTGAACCTTTTCCAGGTGACCAGCGCTTCTTAACATAGATTTAAAATAATGTGCCTGAAAGTTCAATGAGCGAGAATGGCACAGGTTGGCTGGTCATCAAGTGTCATACCTCCTGTTCTTCAACCAACGTCCAAGCGTCTCCAGTCCTCCCCGCTCGAGCAGTTCGACCAACCCGATGCACATACTTTCTTATATCCACCGGTGCGTCATAACTGACTACGTGCGATACATGACTGATGTCGATACCTCTTGATATGAGATCCGAGCATATGAGTCTAAAGTATGGTCAGTACAGAAGGTCGCGGGAACAAAATGTATTAAACTTCCAGATGGACCTCTTGAGCCTTGAATTTCTCCAATATGGTCCTGCGTTCGTTAGTAGGAAGATCACTCGAATACGACCGAACCGCAATTGGATTTTCATTGGAGGGGGTAGCAGCCTCGAAGAATTCGAACAAACGGACAAGACGAGAGGCCGATTCGGACGACTTGGTGAAAACAAGTGCATTGCGGACGGAATGGTTGTATACAAGATGGAAGAGCATTAATGGTTTCTGAGGGGCCTCGCAAATTATCATGTGTTCCTGTGATTTATGAGTGAGCTTTTGGCAGGATTAAATTTGTTGTCGCGTACCTTTAGTGCTTCGGGCATGGTGAACCGTTCCGCAATAATGTTGGGAATACCATCGATTTCGGATTCTTCAGATAGACCTTGCACAACAAAGTACTTTGGATGTCGGAGATCCAGAGCCGCAAGCTTTCCCGGGTCACTGGTGAGTGTCGCGGAAAACAGTAATTTCTGACACGAGACGTCTTTCTTTTCATCGATGTCAGTATGTAGGTCTACTTCCCTGTGAAGGCGAAGAAAAGCGGGTGCAAGAGAATCACAAAGAGGGGCTTGCGTTTTGGTTTCACTTGTCTCAGGGACCATTCTGGGCGGTTGCGTGGCGGCAAGAACTTGAGCCAGCCAGTCTTGGAATGACTGAGCAAGCAATCGATCGGCTTCATCTATTACCTAGAAAAAAACGATCATTCAAGAAAAAGTATGACAGATCAAAGAGGCTGACCAAGAATCGGAGGTGTTGTAGCGAAAAGTTGGGTGTTCCGTTGAGATGATCGATAAGGCGCCCCGGGGTACAGATCAGAATGTCAACTTTACTTGATCCACCAGAGAGTCTTCCGCAAACGTCAACACGGGTACAAAGCACGGATTAGCGTTCAGAGGGGAACGTACTTGGCTGACATGTCCGCAACTAGTTGCGACTGCTCATGAGCGAACGAGTGCTGTCCGGTGGCTGTACCAATCTAGGTCCATATTCGAAATGTAAATTGGCTAAGGATCAGACAAAAACAAGCAAACCTTCAAACCTCGTCCTTTTGCGATCGCCTCTACTGTCTCTCTAACTTGCATGACTAAATCACGCGTCGGTAGAACAACAAGAGCACGGAGGTGGGTTACAATTCTCGTTGACAGAACCTGACCCCATCGAATCAATCAAGACTTCCGAAAATTGCGCGAATCATTACCTCAACAATTGGGAGCACATATGCGAGTGTTTTCCCACTTCCGGTTGGTGCAGAAACACATACGTCTTGTAACAGGTCAAACGGTGAGTACAGTGACCTCCGCATGGCGGAAGAACCTAGCAGAAAAGGGAGGAGTGCAGTCTGAACTATAAAGTTGTCAGGATATGTGTGCAAGTGGATTAACAGATCTTACCAGCAAATAGTTCAGTGATCCCTAGTTCTATGAGGCGCCTTCTTGTCCTTTCCGATAAACCAGTGCGAGCATCATCTCCTTTGGGTATTATGGGTAGTCGAGAGGAGGGATTGACAACTTCAGCTTGAACTAAAGCTTGATCAAGACCTTGCAATGCGAGTATAGATTTAGGCGGTGCATCAGGTAAAATCGGAAGGGGGAATACCGGGAGAGACATCTGCAGTTCGGGGGACTGTGTCCGCTGTTGGATAGGAAGCGGTGGAAGACTCATACTCAAAATTGTCTCACGTGATCTAAACCAATATTCAGAGTGTTTTTGCCAAGGGTTTCCTCAACATCCAGCCCTTCACTGCTCGATCCGCTACCCCTGATGGCACAACGCACAAAGAATATGCTCACACGCGCAAGCATTCAATGAAGGGCATACAAGTGGTATCGAAAATACAGGGTAAGAGACTAATAGTTATCTTACAACGTGACAGGTACTAGCAGTGACAACGCCAAAATGAGAGAGAATATGAGATCGACAACTTGAAAACTCTACAGTAAATGATATCGTGAGGGAATGCGAAACAACAGTATGATCAACACAGAAGGTAATCCTACAACTGACAGGTGCTACGTATAGTGACCGGGATGAAACAGTATCGAAAATCAACAACTCGAAAACCTATACCATACAAAAGCAGTACAACAACCTCGCCGCATAATCAAGGATCGAATCAAGACGCTGATCCTAATGCTTGATGAGGCTACTGGTAATTCTGATAAATATTTACTCTGGTAGCGAATGTATTATCATGGATTCTTATGTAGCTTCCATTGACCACGAGACCAACAGCAGGATATTCAACACACCATTGTCGATGGGTTTAAAGAGCGCACAACCCTGTGCATTGCACGTAAGTTCGGGAAGACTCGTCAGTATAGTGACTCATACATAGGCTACTACATACAGAGTCGCGGGCTATCTTACATACATTTCCACGTTATGCAAAGATTACATACTGGAGAGGAATGAAATCCACAAATTATAGGGTCAATCTAGGTAACGTTAAACGTTGAGTGGTAGTGGGGTACAGACGTTGGGGGGTAGTCAGGGACAAACGTTGAGTGGTAGACAGGGGCCATGGTCACTGGGGCCCAAGGTACGAATGCATTTTGTTCCCTAAATTCTCCCAGCTCCATACGGCCTGGAACCGAGACCACCAATCTCTCGGATACTACGATATTCTTCAAACCCGCTACTGCAGATATGATACTCTCATCTAGAATTTGTTGTTGTTGCAACACAACAAGAGCTTTGGCCAACACCTCATTGAGCGATTCGAGTTCAATCCTCGAAGCATCTGATGGCATGTAGCACTCCGTGCCCTTGACAAGATCTGGAAGGCTCTCAATAACATCATCCAACTCATGATGAGGGTAAGATTCGAGAATATACCATGCACCCCTCATCAAGTCCCACAAATGCATGGCTGTGATAGTACTAAAGCAAGATGTGGCCTGCCCTGGGGGAGCAATACGGAGGGAAATCCCGGCGAGGTAAAAGAGACGACGAGCTTCTTCGCTAGTGATGTTGGTGGAAGAATATTGATAGGGGCGAGGGGGAATTGAGAAAGAGCGAGAGCGAGAACGAATGGGAGAGCGAGAGCGAGAACGAATGGGAGAGCGAGAGCGAGAACGAATGGGAGAGCGAGAGCGAGAACGAATGGGAGAGCGAGAGCGAGAACGAATGGGAGAGCGAGAGCGAGAACGAATGGGAGAGCGAGAGCGAGAACGAATGGGAGAGCGAGAGCGAGAACGAATGGGAGAGCGAGAGCGAGAACGGACAGGAGAGCGAGAACGGACGGGAGAGCGAGAGGGAGAGAGAAAGGGAGAGGGGGGAATGAGTGGAAGTGGAAGAGGGAGAGGGAGAGGGGGGGGAAACGGGGATGGTGAAATCATGAGGAGGGGGCATGGTTACAGTGAGATTGCAAGGACGTTGAGCGAGATGACCAGAAGTGAGTGTGCTTGTAATCCACTTTTCAATATAGCCATCCTGGGTCAAGTGAGGGTGCCAGTCGGTGTTCTTTGCAAGAGTGAAGGCGAGACGGAAATAGGGGATAAGATAATCTTGGTCGACGATGGCTGCCAAATCATTACCGCAAGTAAAAAGTGTGGTGATGAGGGTTGCACAGAGCTCAGAGAGCACTGAGTCTCGTAAGGACTCGTCATCTCTGGTAGCAGTGGTGAACCCTACAAGGTCTCGTCGGGCGTTGCAGACAATATTTGCGGCGTGATGGCGGAGCCAAGGTTGATTTTCACCCATGTAGCGAATGAGGGCACGGCAGTAACGAGTATATCTTGCGATATTGTCAACCTTGGGCGCAGGTAAAACGAGGAATACAAGAAGCTGGATTTCGGGCAGGGGAGAGATCGCCAGATCGCTGCCCTCGGGCCATTCGGTGGAGCTGAGCAGGTTGAATGCATTGGTGATCTGGAAATTGTCTTTGTCGCGTTCATTTGGGACCATGGGACAAATGGCCTTCAAAACGGTATGGGAGAAAGGATGACTCGGATGATAAAGAGGTTCATCCATGAACATGCGGGCGTCTGCTCGCCGGCAGGCAGCACTTCGGCAGGCGGCACGAAGTGCGATATGGCGAAATTTGCGTGACTGGCCATAATTCAGAAATGGAGCGATGCGGTCTTGGATGAGGTATAATGGTTTTATCCCCACATCACTGAACAAGAGTAGAGCATCTCCGGCTGCGTCAATATCATCAATTTTATAGAAGTGCCCTGCGCAGTCCAACAACCAGTCAACTTCCGGCAGATTGAATTCCAATTGGAATTGACCATTCCAAATTAATCTGGCATCATCGCCGGGATAAGCAAGATCGTCTGCGCCGCCGGCCACAGCCATATGCAGAGCAGCACGGGTGTTTGCCTGGAAAGATAATTTTAATTGTGGATCAATGTTGGTGTTACCCATTTGGCGGTAGAAAATTCTACATTGTTCCAGTGCCCGAGGCAGATACAGGGCACGCCACCATCCCCAGAGATTCCACTCTCGCGTGGTTGTGTGGAGCATATGCCTCACATCATCATCATTGGAAGAGAAGTAGATCAACGCTTTCCCATATGCCAGTGCGTTGTCGGGCAGTATCGGAATGCCACGCTTGTCAAAACATGCCTTGAACATGTCTCGAACATCTGTGCATAACGACACGAGATTCACGTCTGGCAGCTCCGACATTGTAGGTATCAGTTTGATCACCGACCTAACAACATCAGGGTTTCTTGAAGTCTGCAAGATCCACGTCATGGCGGATTTGAGAGGATCTTCATCTCGATGCTGGAAACCCGCACGTGCACGAAAATGACCAAAGACAGCTCGGATGAGTAAGGACATGGGCGTCTGGAATGGACAGTCGGGATGTATCAATGTCACCACAATGAAGAAGGCATGACAAAGGCCACCAAAAGTGGTTATTGCAATAACAGGGATGGAGGTGGGTCGTTGTTGCGTCCACAGCATGGCTCCCAAGGACAGAGCAAATAGAAGCAGGGAGATCTGTAGGAAAACTGGTAATGACCGCAACACATTTTCGAACTGCCACGCCTTTAGCTCCAGAAACTTGCGGTGCCTCTGCCGACATCGTTCTTCAAGAGATCCACGACCAAACCGGGTTGCCTTATAGTGACCCAGCCATTGCTTGCCCATGACAGCGCCATAGGCAGCGAAAAGACTAAATGCAAGGCTCGCATACGCAAGTGCCTGCATCCATAATTTGGAAGAAGAGAGACCTGTAGATGACGGAAGGATCGTTGGCTGAGTAGTAGAACGACCATCTGACGTGTTCTGGATAAGCTGCAGCAACAAAATGTTGGTGGTGTCAACAGGATCTGGCTGCATTGCAATGATGAACGCGGTATTGACAGCGGAGAATAGGCCAGCCTGTCGATTACTCGTGTTGGATACTTTTGAAATCATGACTATTGCACGTACGAAGAGCAGAACTATCTGCAAACTTTGATTACACCTCTTTAACATGTCATCGTCATACTGGCCAGACCTAGTTTCGTAGTCTGCCCAAAATTCAGAAAGCGGATCCTTTGCTTTCTCCTTGGCGATCGTGGAGTTCTGGAGGACCTCAAGAATCTGCTTGAGAAGGCCAATCTGAGAACTTGAAAGTCTTGGATGATGGCAGTTAATTCCCAAGTCTTCACAAACACCGTGACCTTGCTATGAAAAGGTACTCACTGTGGATCGATTTTCATTTCTGTGTTCTCCTTGGTGGGTGGTATCTCAGCAGGTAGTGACCACAGCTGGTCGAAGTCGTGATCCATTGGCGAAGCCTAAGAATGAAATCGTTCAAGAAGGTATAAAGACTCCAACTGAGGAATCGAACGCTGAATTCAAGCTGATTTATAGTAAATGAGCGTGACAAGCGCCAACTTCCACGTAGAATTCTAAAGATTCAAGGCACGAACTTACCAAGGAGGTGGACTTCATCAAAACTTCATTGTCGGTACTGCTATCTTACACCCACCATCATTTTGCACGAACCTGTCGATCTTATAAACCAGAAGCACGCAGACCTCCTGGCTTCCTCAAACATGTCGCCCTTCCATTCGAGTTGGTGACAGGAGCCATGCGGAAAGGGTCTTCATAGGCACCATTCTTACTAGTATCCTACGTGCGAAACTGGTTTATCACCGATCGTAAGCGCTTGCAGAAGGCCCCTTATGAATAGAAATTTGAATCGACCCGCGTCTAGGTCTGTGGGGGGATCGATATGAGATTGATATCTGATATTGGTACCACTGCACTGGCGAGCGCCAAGCGGAGACTTGGTACAATGAGCATGTCTTCGATAAGAAAATTGAAAGTCGCCGCTCGAACCTTATTTTACTTACATATCGGTTGTGCAGCGTCCGCCGCTCAGCGCTACTATTAGCGCTCATCTGTCATAGTACACTCGGCATACGGAGAATGCACAGACCTCCCAGCTTCATCCTGAAACATGGCACCCTTACCTTCAAGTTGGTGACGAGAACTATGCGGAAAGGCTCTTCATACATAGACGCCATTCTTGTACGCGAAATCGGTTTACCGCCAATCGAAAGCGCTCAGTGCAGAAGGCCTCTTATCGACAGAAATTCGAATTGGCTTGCATCTTGATCTGGGGGGATCATGGGGGATCCATATGAGATTAATATCTAATATTGGTATCACCGCGCTAACTCGGAGCGCCTCGCTGGGATTCAAGGCGGTAGTACGTGGGACAACTAGAGTTGCTGGTATCATCAGCTGCCAGTACCTGTTATCGTTCGGACCTTTCTCGGTTCCTTCGACTCCAAACCCTGAGGCTTGAGCACGCAAACTTAGTAGTCCAGACACCCTTGAAGCTCGAGGCACGTCATTCACAACCAAAAGATCCCAGACTCCGCTCAACATCTTTGCTCCAGCTTTCCTCACTGAACAATACAACGGCCACAACGTATCCTCACTCACTATGCTTCCCTTCCCTCCATTTTTAACGTCAGCTTTGTCAGTTTGAAGGGTTATTCACTGTATCCCGTATATCCGGTAGCCCGGTAATATGCGATAGTACTGTAGGTACCTGACAGGCAAGATAACATTTACTGTGTCTAAGATTCTGAATGACCACGTATCTCCACTCGCATCGGAAATATTGGGATTCACCTACCACCCTCCATAGACATTAGGCGTCCTAGGACTAACCGCTCTTCTGTGAGAAGGGAGCTCTGGCTATAGACGGTCTCCGAGAACTCACACCGCCACCCTCCGTCCCAAGGTTCAGTTCCGTATCTAATCTCCTAGCCATTTCCCTGTCCGTCTCCTCCACCCGCCTCCTGTGCTCCTCAAGTGCCTGCTCACGATAGGCAAGTTCGCGGCTTAATTCTTCTTGCCGTTACCGTTCCTCAGCGACTCTTTGCTCTCGCTCGCTCTCCTCCTGTGCACGCCGCACAAAAGCAAGATCTTCTTTCCCCCTGCGATGCTCGGCTTCTTCTGCTTCAAATTGAGCGCGAGTGAAAGCAGCATCGGCAGCCTCCTTGTGACGAATCTCTTCTTCCCTTTTTCAGCGTGCTTCTTCCTCCTCATCCGCTCCTCTTCAAGCGTCCGACATGATTCCTCTTCGCGCTTCTGATGTACCTCTTTGGCCCTTCAATGAGCATCCTCCTTGCGTCCAATCCTACCCTCTTCATATTTACATCTGGCTTCTGCCTTGCGCAGTTCTTCGACTCTTCTACGCTCCTCCTCTCGTTGTCGCCGCTCTTCCTCCTCTCGCTGCATCTGCTTCGTCTCCAATTTCAGTCGCTCCTCGCATCGTTTTTGTTCCTCAGTGTCCCTCCGTCTCAGCTTGAGGCTGCCCTTCCTCATGAGAGTTGATCACACAGTCAGCTTTCCAACAAGTCGTTCGCTCGGACAACCCTGAACTCGGACTTGGTGCTGAGTATAGGCTGTATAGAACTTGACAAAGTATGATCCACTGTACACTCGGTCACATTTAAATTGTACCTGAAATCTCCATGATAGGTGTATTGCTACGATCATTGTTGATACTACGGTCTGCAAGTGTTGGTTCAGTAAATGCGAAGAACGAAAGGGGTTTCGAGGAGATTCAAGGACAATGGGAGTTGAACTGCGATCACCATGGGATGTTCCCCTCCGTTGACTCGGAAACGTTGCACAGCGCGTGGATGGAGTTGGGCGAGCTAGTACATATATTAGCTCCAGTCAGTGGACCGGGAAAACATCAAAGTGCCTCGAGGCGCATTTGGATTCTGAATGTGCAATTGCTATAGAATTGATATGGGGTCTGGGTATTATTCCGGGTGGACTCCATGTCCATATCTTGCTGATCCGAATCATCACCTGCGTGCAGTCCACCCTATCCAAAGGTTTCTAAAAAGTGTGGACTTGCGCCTGAGAGTGACTGCACCCAGCAATGTCTGGCTTGCACACGAAGGTCATGATGAAGTCGAGAAAGCCTCAGAAAGGGTATAGTGGCAAGGGTGTAGCGTGTCACAGTGGCAACTTGAAGTTCAGCGTGCAGCTGCGGGGCTGCAAGATTCATCCATGCATAGCGTATGATGGCAGGATGTGGACCCGTACCTGCCCATGATATTCGACAATAGATTACATACAGAATCACAGGCTATCTTACATACTACATCACCACGTTACGCAAAGACTACATACTGGAATCCACAAAATACAAGAGAAAACTGCATAACGCGATGGTTAAACAATCACGTAGATTCACAGGACCAAAAATCTGGAGCGTCGTCCTTTGCATTTAGTTCTCTAAACTTTTCCAGCTCCTTACCATCTGGAACTGAGGCCACCACTGACAATCCCTTGCATACGGTATTCTTCAAACTAGCCACTTCAGATATGATACTCTCATCTGGAATTTGTTGTTGTTGCAACATATCAAGATTCTTGGCCAACAAAGCATTGAGCGATTCGAGCTCAATCTTGGAAGCATCTGATGGCATGTACCGCTCCGTGCCCCTGACAAGATCCGGAAGGCTCTCAATAATATCATTCAACTCATCACCAGAGTAATGTTCGATGATATACCATGCACCCCTCATCAGGTCCCACCAATGCATGGGTGTGATGGCTCTGAAGTAAGATGAGGCCTGCTCTTGTGAAGCAATACGGAGGGAAATCCCGGCGAGATAAAAGAGACTATGAGCTTCTTCGTTGGTGACGTTGGTGGAGGAATATTGATAAGGGAGAGAGGGTATGTGATGGCGAGAGGGAGAGGGAGGAGAGGGAGAGGGAGCACGATAAGGAGAAGGAGTGCGAGTGCGAGAGGGTGTGCGAGCTGGAGAAGGAGTGCGAGTGTGAGAGGGAGTGCGAGCTGGAGAAGGAGTGCGAGTGTGAGAGGGAGTGCGAACTGGAGAAGGAGTGCGAGAGTGAAGAGGGGAAATGAAGGGAGAGAGAGGAGTGTGAGAGGGAGTGCAAGCTGGAGAAGGTGTGCGAGTGCGAGAGGGTGTGTGAGAGGGTGTGCGAGCTGGAGAAGGAGTGCGAGTGCGAGTGCGAGCGCGAGAAGGAGAGCGAGAGGGAATAGGGGGAATGAAGGGGGAGAGAGGAGGGGGAATGGCTACAGAGAGATTGCGAGGACGTCGAGCGAGATGATTGGAAGTGAGCGTGCTTGTAATCCACTTCTTGATAGTATAGCCATTCCAGATCAAGTAAGGGTGCCAGTCGGAGTTCTTTGCAAGAGTGAAGGCGAGACGGTAATAGGGGGTAAGACGACCTTGGCCGTTGGAGGCAAACAAATCATTGCCGCAAGTAAAAAGTTCGGTGATAAGCTGGGAGGGCACTGAGTCTCGTAAGAACTCATTAGCTCCGGCAGCAGTGATGAACTTTACGAGGTCTTGTCGGGCACTACAGACGATATTTGCAGCGTAACGGCGGAGCTGATAAAATTGACCTCTACCCATGTAGCGAATGAGGGCACGACAGTAATGAGTATACCTTGCGAGATCGTCAACACTGGGTGCCGGTAAAACGAGGAATACAATAAGCTGGATTTCGGGGAGGGGAGAGGTCGCTAGATCGCTATCTTCGGGCCATTCAGTAAAGTTGAGCAGGTTGATTGCATTGGTGATCCGAGAATTGTCTTGGTCACATTCATTTGGGACCGTGGGACAAATGGCCTTCAGAACAACATGGAAGAAGGGATGACGATGATGATAATAAAGTAATTCATCCGCGGTCGTGTAGCTGAGACTTTGGCGGGCAGCACGAAGTGCGATATAGCGAAGTCTACGTGACCGGTCGTTGTTCAAAAATAGAACAATGCGGTCTTGAATAAGGCGTAATGGTTTTGTCTGCATGGCACTGAACAAGAGCAAAGCGTCTCCAGCTGCGTCATCGTTATCCAGTTTATAGAAGTGCTCTGCGCAGTCCAACAGCCAGTCAACTCCCGGCAGATTGGATTCCAATTGGAATTGACCATTCCAAATCAATGTGTCATCATCGGGATGAGCAAAATCGTCTACGCCAGCAGCCACAGCCATACGCAGAGCAGCGCAGGTGCCTTTTTGGAAGGATGGCTTTAAATCTGGATCTTGAGTGCTGTCCATTCGGTGGTAGGAAGTTCTACATTGTTCCAGCGCCTGAGGGAGATACAGGGTGCGCCAGCGTTCCCATAAATTCCACCCCCGTGTAGTTGTGTGGAGCATCTTCTTCACATCGTCATAATTGGAAGAGCAGTAGATCAACGTTCGTCCATGTGCTAGTGCGCTGTCGTATCGTATCGGAATGCCACGATGGTCAAAACATGCCTTGAACATGTCTCGAACTTCTGTGCATAACGACACGAGATCCACTTTTGGCAGCTCCGACATTGTAGGCATCAGTTCGATCACCGACCTAAAAACATCACGGCGTCTCGAAACCCCCAACATCCACTCCATAGCAGATTTAGTACAATCTTCATTTTGATGCTGGAAGCATGCACTTGCACGAAAATGACGAAAGACAGCTTGGATGACCAAAGAGACAGGCGTCTGGAATGGACTGTCAGGATGTATCAACGACACCATGATGACGAAGGCATGGCAAAGGCCTCCGAAAGCAGTCATTGTAATAACAAGGATGGAGATAGGCGGTTGTTGCCCCCACAGCGTGGCTCCCAGTGACAGACTGAATAGAAGCAGGGAGATCTGGAGAAGAACTGGGAATGATCGCAACACATTTTCAAACCGCCATGCCTTCAGCTCCTGAAACTTGCGGTGCCTCTTCTGACATCGCTCTTCGAGAGATCCATGACCAAAACGAGTTGCTTTATAGTGACCCAGCCATTGCTTGCCCATGACAGCGCCATAGGCAGCGAGAAGACTAAATGCAAGACTCGCATACGCAAGCGCCTGCATCCATAATTTGGAAGAAGAGAGACCTGTAGGTGACGGAAGGATCATGGGCTGGGTAGCAGAACGACCATCCGATATGTTCTTCATAAGCTGTACCAACAGAGCGTTGGTGGTGTCAACAGGATTTGGCTGCATTGCAATGATAAATGCAGTATTGACAGTGGCAAATAGACCAGCCTGCCGGTTACTTGTGTTGGATGCTGTTGAACTAGCGACGTGTTTCACGTACGAAGATCAGGACTATATCCATATTCCCATTACACCTCTCTAACATGTCGTCGTCGTACTCGTCAGACACAGTTTTGTATGTTGCCCAAAATTTAGAAAGCGCATTCTGTGCTCTTTCCTTGGCAATTGTGGGGTTCTGGAGGACGTCGAGAATCTGCTCGAGAAGGCTGGTATCAGATCTTGAATGATGGCAGTTATTTAGTCTTCACAAACACCATGAGGTTGCGATGAAAAGTACTCACTGAGTATCTGTCCTGGGACTGGCAGTTTGTTGGTATGGGACTGGCTCGTAATACGGTTGTGCATCGGGCGGCTGGTTGGAGAAGTAATAGGACATTGCAGACAAAGCCTAAGGATGAAATCGTTCGAGAAGGGAAAAGGATCCAACTGAGAAACCGAACGCTGAAGAAGTTCGTAGTGACAAGCGCCAACTTCCACATAGAATTCTGAAGATTCGGGGCACGAACTTACCAAGGAGGTGGTCCTAGCTTTATCTCGAAATGTGTCACCTGCTCTTCCATAGACGCCATTCTTACCACTGATCGTAAGCGCTTGCCTCTTATCGATAGAAGTTTGACTCAATTGGCCCGCAGGCACCTGAGTAACACCTGTTCCTACACTTGTTAGTAACGTACACAGTATAACATATCTGAGGGGGGGAAACCTACGCTGCAGTACTTAGCACTGACTTTGAGAAAAATCAAGAGGGCGGCCTATCTGATCGATTTGTCATCGCCCCGGATATCTCCCGCCATCTGGGGGTCCATATGAGATAATATTGGTGCCACCTCGCTGACTCGGAGCGCCTCGCTGGGATTCAAGGCAGTACAACTAGAGTGTCCTGTTATCATTCAATCGGATCTTTCTCGGTTCCTTCGACTTCAAACCCTGAGCACACGGCCGAATTCGCAACGCAAATTCATCAAAGTTATATTCAATCGAACTGAAAAGTATGCCAACTCGCCTCCAAAATTAAAGTGCGTGATATCGTGGCCTAAATATCCATCCGTTGTAAGTTAATCTGGAGCAGGTTGGGTCCTAGACTTATCGTTGCGACTCGTATCGCCAAAAATTCATTTTGTCAGTTTTGAACGACGCCCACATGAAATGAAGCCATAGTAGTGAGGAAAGAATCCTAAATACGAGATAGAACGATGGATGCAGAGCAATACAGCATGACACGATGGACACAATCACCAGTCGTAAGATAACATTTACTGTATCTATAGATCATTAACTTATAATATTATTTATCTCATCTCCACTCGCGTCGAAAATATTGTGTTTCACCTGCCACCTCCACGGACATTGGGAGTCCTAGGACTGCCCGCTCTTCTGCGAGAAGGGAGCTCTGGGCTCCGAGAACTCGTATCACCATCCTCCGTCCCAAGGTTCAGTTCCATATCCAATTTTCTAGCCATTTCCCTATCCATCTCCTCCACCTGCCTCCTACGTGCCTCCTCGCGCCTACGTTCCAACTGCTCCTCAACTGCCTGCTCACGACGGGCAAGCTCACGGTCTAATTCTTCTTGCTTTCGTCGTTCCTCTGCGGCCCTTTGTTCTCGCTCGCTCTCCTCCTGTGCACGCTGCGCAAAGGCAAGATCTGCTTCTTCCTGCCTGCGACGCTCGGCTTCTTCAGCTTCAAATTGAGCACGAGCGAAAGCGGCGTCGGCAGCCTCCTGCTCATCGCGCGCCTTAATGCGAGCAAGCTCAACTTGCCACCTTCGTTCAGCCTCCTCTTCTTCTCGTTTACGGCGGGCCTCCTCTTCTCGTTTGCGACGAGCCTCTTCTTCCTGTTTGCGACGAATATCTTCTTCCCTTTTGCGACGTGCTTCCTCCTCTCGCCTAATCCGCTCCTCTTCAAGCCTCCGATGTGATTCCTCTTCGCGCTTCCGACGTTCCTCTTCGGCCCTTCGACGTGCATCCTCCTCGCGCCTGATCCGATCCTCTTCTTCTTGTTTACACTTAGCTTCTTCTGCCTTGCGCAGTTCCTCGACTCTTCTACGCTCCTCTTGTTGGAGTCTCTCTTTCTCTTCTCGTTTGAGCCTCTCCTCCTCTTCTCGTCTAAGTCTCTCTTCTTCCTCTCGTTTGAGTCTCTCTTCCTCCTCTCGTCGCCATCGCTCTTCCTCCTCTCTCTGCCTCTGCTCCATCTCCAATTTCAATCGCTCCTCCTCGCGTCGTTTTTGTTCCTCAGCATCCCTCCTTCTCAGCTCTTCCTCCACCTGTTGCCCCCTCTCTTCTTCAGCAGCTCGAGGCTGCGCTTCCTCTGCCTCGCGCTTCCCTGAATCTGCCCCCTCGGCAGCCGTCCATTTATCCACCACCTTCCGTGATTCTTCATCCCTGGTGTGTTCCTCCTCCTCACGCTTCTTTTCGTCTTCTGGGACTGTAAGTACGGCAGAAGAAGCTGGAGGCTGGGCCGGAGGGTTCTGCGAAGGGGGAGTTGGACCGGGTCCCGAACCATGTGCTGGCGAAACGGTCGGTGCGGCGTTCTGATATCCTTGCACTGGGGGAGACTGTTGCTCCCCTTTTGCTACTGCCAGGGTCCCCTGCGTGCTTCCAGGAAGTGGCGGTGGCGGCGGTGGCGGCGGAAAATATGATGCTCTAGGAAGAAGTTGAGATTGGGGAGCAGGGACTGGGGATTGCGCGGGGGGAGGTGGAGGGAAATAGGATTGTTGTTGGTATGGCTGCTGCTGGGGCGGCGCGGGAGTGTATGTCTGAGGTTGCTGTTGGGTTGGATGAGTATATCCTTGCGGCTGTGATGGGGGGTGTGGTTGCTGGTTGGGAAGTGGGGTGTATGACTGAGGTAGAGGTGGAGGTTGGTATGGTTGGGCCGAGTAGCTCTGAGGATGAGGGGATGGTTGTGGCTGATATTGTGGTGCAGGAGGCGGTGCTTGATGAGGGGGTGGCGGGGGCTGATATTGCGGGGTGGGAGATGGAGTCTGATGAGGTTGATACTGGTAAGGCTGCGGAGAAGATGACGAGTATTGTTGTGGTTGTGGTGAGGGTGACGGGGGATAATTATAGGGCGTATAAGATTGCTGATATGGTTGAGGAGGCGGAGATGACGTTTGATAAGGGGGAATGTATCCTTGCGACAATGGAGTATATTGTTGAGGAGGAATATATCCTTGCGATGAGGGAGAATATTGTTGGGGAGCCTGGCCCGACAGGTAATGATTGGATTGCCATTGTCCTTGCTCGCGCTCTGGCTCTGGGGTATGGGGTTGTGCAATAGGAAACGAGGGTTGGTAATGCTCACTCGGCGGATCGTCTGTCGTAATAATGGTTGTACGAACTCCTAGAAGTTCTGGAGGAAGCTCATAAGGACGTTCTTGGACAGGAGTCTGTAACAATGGTATTGGAGTTGGTGGAGTCGTATAGAACGAGGGCGAGTCACTCGTGCCTCCCATAGTCATAGCGGGAGTCCCAAAACGACCTGCACGTCCAGCAACCCCTGGGCGCAGAATGGTTGGCAAATGACCAGACTTTCTCTGGGGTACCAAATCTTCTTCGGGAAGAGGGGGTAGCGCATCAGTCTTACTAAACTGTCGGCCAGGGGGCGAAGGGGATGGCGATGAGGGCTTGGGCTGGCCTCTAGCAGGAAGTAAAGATGCAGGTAGCGTACTGGGGGGTACATAGCCTGGGTCACGGAGCTGCACAGGAGTAGGGTTCAGGGCAGATGGCGGTCCACCCTTGTGTGGTACAGGATTATACGACTGCGGCCGTGTAAGACGATCTGATTGTTTGAGCTTCGATGGTCGACGACTAAGAGGAGGAGGAGTATTTGCATAGAATGTCATCTCGAGGTATAACTCGCCTCTCGCTCCTCCTGATGTTTCGAGAGGAACCCAGTCTAACAAGATAGATTAAGCATAGATTAAGCCAGGATCATAAGTGTCTCACCATCAAATTCACCAGTTTTCAAAGTCGATTCGATATCGACAATCCCTTTGCCTAGGAGCTTATCCTCAGCTCGAGGCTCGTCCTTCCAGCAAGACACTTCCAGCTTTCTGTTGACCTTGTCTTTTCCAGCATCGGCGAGAACAGGAAAGCGGAATTCTTCATCCCACACAGGATGCTGCCCTCCCTTGGGGTCTGGCTTGGTTCGTTGAGTCTGGCCAGAAAGGGCCGCTTGTGCATATGGGTCCTGCTTGTAGAAAGAAGGTTGGTGCAGATGACGAGCTTTGAGGATGACGACGACTAGCGTCCCAATTTCCTTCGATTGTGACATGGAGCAAGTTAAAAACAATTAATGATCACAACCGTATTGGCCGTCAAGTTTAGCTGCATCGCCTGCTATCATGTGCTATGTGAGTTAGTCACTAACATTGTGACAGTTTAAGTACGTCACAGTAAGTCGTGACATGTGACCCCACGCGTTTCTACAGCGGAGTTGGAAAATCGCGTTAATCGATCGCAAGACGCGCACAGTCGAGCTCATCGACACCCACAGCTTAATGTCGGAGAGAGCAAAGCGCGCAGACAGGCTTGCTGCTCTTGCAGAACTAAAACGAACTCGTGAAGGAGGCGCGCGCAAGTGGAAGGTGCGACATCATTGCCATTTCGCTTGACATGGGTCCTCAAACGCGTCTTCCCAGGCTCAAGAGGATGTGGCTATCTATGATGAGGTCACTGAGGATCAGTATAAGAGCATCGTGCGAGGAAGGTTGCAGAAGGATGACTTTGTCGTGGACGATGGCGTGAGTGGTTATATGGACAATGGGATGGACGACTGGACGGGCGCTGAGAAAGACGAAGATGAAGATGAAGATGAAGATGATGACGAGCACGAGACAAAGAACAAGAAGAAGGGTGAGTTTTATTGTGTATCTACACATTTAACGTCTGACATTGGCTTTTCAGCGAAGAAGGGCAAGGATGCTACATCCAAGCCTAAAGCGAAGCCAAAAGCACCACCGCCCGCTGCCAAGCCCTCTATTAGCGTGTACCGCCCGGCCGTCTCAGCAGAGCAGGAAGAAGACTTTATGGCCAATCTCCTTGGAGGCTTAGATGCTGTCCCAGCCCCAGCTGCAGGGAGGCCAAAGAAACGCAAGCCCTCCCCGTTATCAGATCATGAAGACGTGAACTATTCTTCTGATGGTCTCATGGAAGAAACTGCTTTCAACCTGTCATCAAGTGATTTCGAAGACAACTTTTCAACTATGATGAGCCCTAAGAAGAAGCCACGTACAACGAGTGGTGCTGGAATCACCCCCGCGATCGAGCGAATGTGCAAGTTGGGTGTTCATAGTGGATCCGAGGATAGTTTTGACAACTCAATGGACTTTGAGGACATGGACATGGATGCCTTCATGGATATTGATGACGAAGATCTTGATCTCAAGCCGGCCAAGGGGAACAAATCTATCCTCGATGGCCTAGAAACTAAGCCCAAGGTCAACATTCCCTCTCCACCAACTAAAGCAGAGCCGCCTTCAGCTCCAACTTGGCTATCTGTTTACGACTCCCTTGCTGTTACTTCTGATGAAACCTTGGGTTCTGGTTCTGCCTCCTCAACTTCTAAATCATCTGTCGACGCTCTTGAACCCGATGGCACCCTCCACTTTTTCTGGCTAGACTACCTTGAGCATAACGGCAAGCTCTTTCTCACTGGCAAAATCAAGGACAAAACCTCCTCGATTTGGGTATCTGCATGCCTTGCCATCGAGGGGCTTCAGCGTAATTTGTT